TGTATGAATTTATAGATTGTTTGAGAAAAATTTTCTTCTTTCATTGCCAAATCATCTCATCCATGAACATGTGTGTCAGTTATTTTTCCAGATTTAAAAAAAAAAAATACGTTTAATAGAGTTTTAACGTGTTCTTCACTCATAGTGGCTAATAAATTTAAATTTGACTAATCTCTTGATATTTCAGAATACATTAAGAATGGAAGTGAAATTATTAAACCTGATAAAAAGAACTGTTAAACTAATATGAAAAGTAAAATATATTATGTATAAAGAAGCCGTTATAATATGCCTGTCATGACTGCAGTTGTTCAAAATATAAAATATGGCTGTAATTACTTGACAAAGTTGTTTAAAATACCCAGGAGTATTTTGAAAACTAGACATCTCTTATATGTGATTTATTTTTCCTTTCTGAAAACTTTAAACAATTTTCTTTTTTTTCTTTTATTTATTTGTTTATTTTCTTTTTTTATTATTATACTTTAAGTTCTAGGGTACATGTGCGCAACGTACAGGTTTGTTACATATGTATACATGTGCCATGTTAGTGTGCTGCACCCGTTAACTTGTCGTTTACATTAGGTATATCTCTTGAAATGCTATCCCTCCTTCTTGCTGTGTTGTTTAAATTCATTGTGCTATTTCTACGTACATGTCTTAAATCTTAGCTGTTTTGCATAACGCATGATCCTCTCTCTCTCCCCTTCTCTATTTTTCAGAGGTGAGGGTCTTGCTATGTTACCCAGGCCGGAGCGCAGTGACTACTTACAGACACGATCATAGTGCACTAGAGCCTTGAACTCCTGGGCTCCAGTATTTCTCCTGCCTCAGCCTCCTGAGTAGCTAGGACTACAGGAGTGCGCCACCATTCTTGGCATAATCCTCTTTTTTTGTGAGATCTTATGTTATTTTTCATGATACATAATTATTTTCTCAAATATTTTGTCACATTTATTTATACTTTCTCTCCTTTTATGACTATCACTGGTGGATCTTGACAATTTCTTTAAGTTTTTACATATCTTGACTTTGTTATCATTCTCTTTGGCCCTTTTCAATACATTCTGAAAGCACTGCACCCCCTTGCTTCAGCTCACTCATTCTTTCTTTACCTATTTATATAACTGATGAACTATGCAACCTATCCTTTTGAGTTTTTATTTTAACTATTTTTTATTTCATTTCCAATATCTCTAAGCAGTTATATTTTATAATAGCTTGATCACCATTTAGATTTCCATTATGTTTATTTCTTTGCAACTTTTGTGCTTTTTACAATTTGTATTGATTTTTTTAAGTAGTTTAGTTTCTTTTAGTATATGATATTCCACTGTTATCTTCCTCTCATAAGATTAAATATTTTTGAATCGATATATTTGTTGGCTTTGTTGGTATATCTGAAGACATCAGAAAAGACTTCTCACTTTATTTATTTTTTTCTGTGTTAGGTTGAGTTGAAGAAAGTCACAAGATGTGAGATGTTTTGTGTTGCAGTTAATGGTCTCTTCCTCCCTATCCTCTGTTTCCACAAATGGACAATTCCTTCTCACAGGGTAACCTCTCTGCTGCTGTACTCATAATTTCTTCCTTCTCTGCTACATCTGTTTTAATTGTCAAGGGATAGAGGCTGCCAGACTTAAATGTATTTGTCGTTCTAGGTTTTTGGCTTCCCACTTCAGCCTGCCTCCAGCAGTGTTCTAAAATTACAATGGCCAAAGCGAGAGCAGCAGATGCTCTAAATCTATTTCCACGATACCTGTCTCATGATCAAGATACAAGTTTCTTTTGCCTCCTTTTATTTTTTTGATGTTTCCTTTTGTTTGACGTATTTTTTGAACTTCTTAGACCTAAATTCCAGACATGGCCAGCACTTCTTTCATCAAAGTTCATTCCCCTCCCCACTGCTACCCCAGTTACATCCATCCTAATCTCAATCACTGGCTTGATCTCAACAGGGATGAGTCCAAGATAGATAGTTCAACAAAAATCCTGTACAGCAACCTATCTTTTCCCCATGAACTTTGGACATCTCCTAATGAGGCTATTTCTTTGTGCCCCTCAAGAAAACAAAAGAATTAACCATCCTTGGGTACATCAATTTTTATAATTGAGAAAAAGGCTATATTAAAATTCAGGTCTAATTTCTGTTGTCTCTAGGGGTAGAGGAAGTTCAGAAAACTAATATGTGTTACTTAAATTTCCACCTTATAAGGGAATTAGTGATGTCTGGCCATTTTCTGGAATATGTATATTCTTAAGGGATATTTCTATTAAGGTTATGAGAATCAATGATCTGTGTCCGCTTACATAGTTCATCTAATCTCTATTTAATTCTCATCAGTTCTATATTCCTTAGCTCTAAGTAACTCTCCTCAGTTTCCCTACTTAATGCTGGAACTAAAAACACACATTATATTTCCTTTTCTTTGCTGGAGCTAGACCCTATACACACTACGAGTCTCTCCTCCTCTGCCTGTATCCTGTATGGCAGTGGAAGATATCACATGATGTATTACAAAGCGTACATTTTAAAGACATTAAAAATCGTTCAATCATGTGCAGTTATTTAATGAGAAAATCTATTTTACATTATGCAGACCTGCAGAGGATATAGCATGACTGTCATTAATAAAAAAAGGTGTGTTTTATGAAAACTCAATTTGTTTTAGTCACATTCTTCTATTTCCTTTTGGAAGGTGTAAATTCTGCAGTGACCAAAATTCATAAAGGAAAATGAGACTCCTGCATGTGTGTATTAGAAGATAATTATGCAGGCATGTAGAAGTTGTATTCCAGTTTTTATTAACAAATTCATTACTTTATTTAATGATTTTTTAAAAATCTCCCTAAGACTAAAATTAAGAAAATCTTAGTAATGAAGTATTGTTAGAAAATTAACTTTGTTATTGTGGATTTGAAATCTCTATCTCCTAATTGCTATTTTAAAATTCTATTGAAGGATCATTTTTGAAGCACTTTATGAAAAATAAAAAATCTTAGAACATAATTTTTTGTTATGCAAGGTGATTCAGCTACAATTTGAATTCTAAGGGAATATGAAACACAATTGAATTTCAGCAACATATCAGTCCTCTTCTAGGATTAGTTTGAGATAAAGATGATTTGCCTTGTTTACTTTGTAATGATTCTTATTTAATTCAATTTAATAAAATTAAAATTTCCATGTAGGACCTCACATCATGGGTTTGTCCTATTCTGTGATTACCTGAAATAATAACTAAAAACAGAGATGAGGAGGTATTCAGTATGCATAGTACCTACAGAAAATATGTCCTTGTGATTTGAGTGGTTTAGCCATTTTACTTTGTCCCCATGATTATCTAACGCACTTTGCAGTCACTTAGGAAACAACAAATGTCCATATTGGAGAAACAAAAATTAAACAAAATTAAATTATCTTAATATTTATGTAACAGTAATATGTTAAAGAGTAGCTAAATAGATATAGAAACCAATAGAATAATAAAGAAGGTATGTTAAAATGTATGCATTACTTATCTTTCCACGATGTGATAGAATAAGAATCTCTTAATTTAAAAAAAAGCTGTTCTGCATTGAATAATGAGTAAATAGAATTGCACTGCCACTTTTTTACCTTTAAGAACAATCCTAAAATTTCACAGAAATTTTTTACGATACAAACTTGGTAGTTCATGGGTAGTTTCAAAATGAAGACCGTTGCTTCATAAAATGTATGTATTAATATCAAATGAGTGAATAATTCATCGTTTTGTTCGTGAAACGGGTGATTAAATTTGCTTAGAGAAATATAAATGATTGCATATCTTTGCATCTTGTCTCTGTACAAGCCTAATAAAATGCATATTTTACATATATTGTCAAGAGAAAGGTGAATTGAATTTCATTAAATTCTCAACATTTTCTTAATAGAATAAATAATAGATTATTACTTGTGTCATATTTCAAAGTTGATTTCAAACTGCTTTGAATTTCTTCTGAATTTAACAGTCTGTATTGATATCTTCTTACCTGTAGTTTAATCATCACACTAGGAAAATTGGCCTAAGCTAGCAGTCATCAAAGGATTGCTAGAGAATCAATCAGAGGACATCTTCACCAACAAAACCTGGGAAACCTGCCCAAGAGCAACAGCAGGATATAGGAGGCTATAAAATTATCTCTACAGTAAACATAGGCAAAAACTTGCTTCAATAAAACACACATTTCATGTTGACCTAGTTGTGGGGTCATATGGTGTCATCAAGATTCATACCTGTGAAAGACAAGCTGGGTAAAATTGGTGAAAGTAGCAGGGAAGTCTCCTCAACCTCCATAGACTGGCTAGAATTTTGTCTCATACAAACATTTATCAGTCATAAAACTTGCTTCTAATGATGTAAACATACTGTTATTTACCATCTATTAACTTACATTTCCAATATTACAATGAGAAATCACATTTTCTTTTTTTCTTGAGGTTTTTTACATTTTTATTTTTATTTTAAGTTCTGGGGTACATGTGCAAGATGTGCAGATTTGTTACATAGGTGCACATGTGTCATGGTGGTTTGCTGCACCGATCAACCCATCACCTATGCTTTAAGCCCAGCATGTATTAGCTGCTTTTCCTAATGCTCTCTCTCCCCCTACCCCCAACAGGCCCCAGTGTGTGTTGTTCCTTTCCTTGTGTCCATGTGTTCTCATTGTTTAGCTCCCACTTAGAAGTGAAGACATGGGGTGTTTGGTTTTCCATTTCTTTGTTATTTTGCTTAGGATAATGCCTTCCAGCTCCATCCATGTCCCTGCAAAGGAACATGATCTTGTTCCTTTTTATGGGTGCATGGTATTCCATGGTGTATATGTACCACATATTCTTTATCATTGATAGGCATTTGGGTTGACTCCATGTCTTTGCTATTGTGAATAATGCTGCAATGAACATATGCACGCAAGTATCTTTGTAATAGAATGGTTTATATTTCTTTGGGTGTATACACAGTAATTGGATTGCTGGATCAAATGGTATTTCTGCCTCTAGGTCTTTGAGGAATCACCACACCATCTTCTACAGTGGTTGAATTAATTTATATTCAAAGTTTTCAATGCATTGGCAGATGAAGCATGGTAACCTAGGAATGAATATCAATATATTAAAGTATTTCATCTAATAGAAGATGCCGTTAATTGTAAAACACAAAATTATTCTGTAAATCAACTTGAAAGAAATAGAATTCTGTGGAGGTTGAACTACATGTTAAATAAATCAGCCTAAGAGAAATGCCAGCTGATTTCACGAGTCTTCATCTTCCTTTGTCTCCCTTTATCTGGATGACTCTAAAAATTTAGCTGAAGTTTGATTATTTAAACTTTTTCAAAAAAGTTCATTGCTTCTAAAAATGGAACAGACTAAGTAAATTAATCTGTCTCCTGCTTCTGAGGTTAGACGTAATGAGCACCAATTCTCTGCCCTCTCATTAATTTGCTTTTAAAAACCATATATAAGGAATTTATGCAAAATGTATACGTTTATAACTTAGATAAGGTGCAGCTATGGAAAACTATATACCTACACATACATTTACAGTATATTTACTACCATGGATTCTAAAATTGTTAAAAGCAATCTCAACTGGTGCCTTGATATGTAGTGTTTTTAGTTTTTATCCATTGTTTCCTTGCAGTTGTAGTATTTACCATTTAAATATTTAATAAATGTAGTAAACAATTTCACCACTTAAATAACAAACATTGAATCACCAAATGTACAAGAAGAAATTGTTAATGCATATTACACCCTCAGGAGAGGAGTCATTTCACCAGCCAGCAACATGCTGTAGATGGTAAGACCTAAAAATCAGCAACATCAATATTGGCAATAATAATAATAATGTCTACTGAGTTTTTGTTAAGTTCCATGCACTTGCAATGTACTAAAAGTTTGATCTTCACAACAAACATATGATACAGAAGAAGAAAGAGAAGCTAAAAAGAGGTAAGCAACTTTCTCACCATCATACAGTTAGTCAATGTAGAGTTTCTGCTAGTCTAGCTTCATGCTTATGTACCCTAAGACAATGCTTCTCAAACTTATCTTCTGAAGAACTTAGTAAAGCACACTTGCCTGGGCCCCCTTCTCTGATATTCTGATTCAGGAGGTCTGACATGGAGGTCACCATAAGCTCCCAACTGATACTGATGCTGCCAGCACATGTGGCAAATATTGATTAACAAGTTATCCATACATTTCATAGGTTTCCTCATTGGGCAGTATTCCAGAGGCTAAGACACTCATCTGAGATTTAAGATATCCAGATATTTAGCCTGTTGATGTTGTCAGATAAACAAATGTTGGTAAATTTACTCTCTAGTTTCATTGCATTCCATAAATGCTGAGAGAAACTGTCTTTGCACTCTAAACCTACGTTCTTCCACAAGACCAATTTAGGAAAGTCAGGCACATGAGGTAATTAGTTTCACATTCATTGGCCAGCAGTATCACTCAGGTTTATGAGCACTCTCAACCTGCTTCTTGAACCCTGGTCTGGCCTAGAGCAACAAGGGTTAGAAAATAGTGCAGGCCCCGCAGGGTGATTCTAATGAACAACTTCTTCATGCAAATTACATAAGGACAACATTTTAATCTTGGTCATCTTAGAATTCAAAAAGTCATTTGAACAAAACAATACAAATCAATAGCTATCATAAGCATTCTCCTGTTGGAAGGATTTTAGCTAACATGCATATGGTGCTTATTGACAGGCAATTTTCTAGTACCTTCTTACATTGACTCATTCAATTCTTCCAATAATCCTGTGAGGTAGATAATACCACCGTCTCCATTTTACAGATAATGACACTGACATTCAGAAAAATTAAGTACCTTATCCAAAGTTATAAGCACTGGAGTCCATATTCCAGTGGAAGTGGGCCAGCTCCAGGTATTCTGCTCTTAGCCACTTTTCTTCCTTAGGACAAAAAGGGTCCAAACTCCTTGGTTGCCAGAAGAGCAAATGAATGTTCCTAGTTAGTACTAAAACGATTGAAGAATAAATAAAAATCATAGCCTTACACTAGCTCATTTAAAAGTAAGGTTTCTCTTTTTTTGTCTAAAAATAAGATTTTAGAAACCTTATTACTGGGGAGTTAAGATGAGCACAAAGGAGACATTAGAAAATATTATAAGAATGCATGTATTCAAGTACCAAGGTACAAAATTATGAAATAGTAACAAGATTATAAATTAAGTTTATCACTAAAACTGATTGACATTTCAAAGAAAATATGAGAATATAGAATAAACTGTTTTATAACCAATGCATGGGATGTGTGGGGTGAACCTGAAAGAATTACAGTTAGAATGAAGGGCCAAACATAACTGCCTGCAGAGATTTTCGAAAACAGAAAAAGAAGTCATCACCTAAAGTGACAACCTGATTAAATAAAATCACTTGTTAAAGCTGGAATTCATAGCTTTGGTGCAGCAACTATGAGTACCCATTTGTGACTTTATTCCTGGATGTATCATAAAACAGAAGTATTTTACCAACAGTAGTCAGAGGTAATATCCTAGACAGTTTTCTCAAAGTGGTCTGAAGTACAAACTGGATATAATTAGTGTTACAGGGAGGTTACCCTGGATGTAATAAGCATACTCTGAGATGGAGATTAGCATGCAGAATGTTTATTAGGGGGCAATCTACAGATTTATTTTTACAATGTACCTGTCAAGGAGCAAGGTTAAGCACAAGAAGAAACTGGTCTGTGATATAGTCACAACACAAGCCTTAGCTAATCCCATGGGAAGCTATAAAACTAGGAAAGCTCTTCTGAGTTGTCCTGAACTGGAGAAAGGTAGCCTGAAATGTATGTCTACCGGCTCTCGAAGTGGGCTTGCCCAGCAAAGGGATTACGGCAATTTTCAGAAAGGGCAGACAGTAGAGCTGCTTTGGGGTAGGACTCCCAGCTGCTGGGCGAATAAGCCCTTCAGAATGATGATGCACAGCATCCACAACAAGCAGTCAGTTGGGATTTAACTAGGTAAGTTCCTGTTCTAAGTATATGTATTCAATAATAGGCAAGTTATCTTTATTAGTAAGTGTGATAATATTCCCTCTGCTGGGAAAACTGAATGTGGTGTTGTATCTCTGTTCCTTAGACACAGGCTGTAACAAGTGTGTCTTTTCTTGCATGAAAAAAATAAAAGCTGACAACCATGTTTTTACACAGTGTTAGGCTAATGAATTATTTCACTCATCTTGTAGTTTAGTAAATTCATTAACATGAAATGTAGTCCTAGAAAGTTATCATCAGATGGCAGCACACACATATAGTTAAGACTTCTTCCACTAAAAGAGAAAATACTGAAATTCTAAATTAGGTTGTCATTCTAAAATTATTCTAATGAGGAGCTAAATAACTTACATAAAATCCTATTGAAAAAACAATGTTCACACTTTTTTTGTTAATGTTTTGCATGTGAATATAGTGGCAGTCCTTTAAATCAATGTAGAGAATCAGAGGATGAAACAGTCTTAGGGAGATTATTTATCCAATACCTAATGATAAAGAGGTTTTACTTTTCACCTTATTTGTAGAACAACTACTGCTGACAAGTACCCGAGAGCATATCTGTACCTCAGTTTCCTAATTTGTAAATGGAGATAACAATAGTACCTCCATTTTGGAGTTGCTGTGAGGAAAAAGTAAGAAACACTATTTGCAGAATTAGAAACAGATTCTAGTGTGTTGTGTTACCTATCAATTTTTATTATTCACAATTTTAAATATAGATGCCCAATACTATACTTCTTTCCAATTATAATTACCATTTATTAATTCAGCACATAGTATAGGATTTGTCATATAATAATTATATGGCATTGATTATCACATTAAGCCTTTTGAACAAATGTTTAAATATGAATTATGAGTCAAAAAACTGAGATATCAATAGATAAAATAACATGTCAGAGGTAAAACTACAAATAAATGATGTGATGGATTTCTATCTTGGTAGATCTACTGAAAACATTTCCTTAAGTGTTTATTACATCAGAAAGAGAGGCTAATCTGAATGTTATCAGCTTTTGAATTTGTGAATTTAAGGAACTGGGTTTTATTTTTTCTACCATAATATTCAAGAGTAATTTCATTATTTAAATTTTTAGCTTATAAGTTGAGGATATTGCTAGATGTGATTGTAAAAAATAATCTAGACTCATCATGGAAATTTTAATAAGATCATGTGTTTGATATTTACTCTTCCTCTATAGAACTGGAGTAAAGATGCTGCACAAAAGGCCAGAATGATGTCAAAGTAGTGTAAACTAATACAGATCAAAGAACAGGAATGGAAAATTGCAAGTAGGGATATGCAGTGGGTTCATATATGGCCCATCTTTGGGCTCAAAACTCTCCAGGGGTTGTTAATTTCAAGGCAAGAGTAAGTAACATCATGCAGTCTGTATTTACATTTGTACCCATACTTGACAATGAAATGTGGCCTAATACACAGGGTTTTAAAAATTATCATTATTATTTAATTTGAATATTCACATTTATAGATTCCAAATTCAGGTCACCAAGGATAAGGGAATCAAAGCTCTAAAAATTATAGAATATTTGAGCAATGCAATAATGACTGAACAGGCAGCTAGATGCTTAGATGGTTTCCACTCAATGCAGTTATGTCAGCTACCCACAGTATATTAGCACTAGGATTTCTTTAGCTTTAGGAATTGTCCATATGCAATTCTTCTCATCTACCCATAAGAACATTTTTAAGGGATCAAAGGTGAGCCCATCTCATGGCAATATAACAACCATGTAAATTAGGTTCACTGCTAGTTTTCAGAAAAGCCATTAGTATTTTATTATTAGATATTAAGAGTATCGACAAGAATATTTCATTATAAAATAATAAAAAGTACTAATGGAACTTCTATATCTACAGATTATTGGTAATTTTTGAGCAATATCATTGACAAATTAATTTTCAGTAGCATAACTGAATAAAACTAAGCTCTTTTAGATGTTCTCCAAAACTCTTATGACAAAAGGATTTCACCATACTGTATGCTTTAGCATTTGTAACTCATCAAATTTTTTTTTCATTTTTCAAGTGTACTACTTGTATATAGACACATATATGACCTTATTTCATCACACATCCACCTTAAAAATACACAGCAAGTAAAAGTAGCTCTTAAAGGAATTTAGAAAGCAACATTGGGTGCAGGAACTAAGAGGACTGGCTGGTGTTTTTCATCAGTAATAGGTGGTGGTGGCTAACCTTTCCACTGTGGACACAGCTCAACACAGCCTTACCAACCTGACTCTGCAGATCACCAAATGGCTACCATTTCACTGAAAAGTGTAGGGAAAATATTAATTTGTTTATTTTCTGTGAATTGAGCTAATTTTCCTCGCTAGTCTTTTTGCTAAATAGTGAAGAAAAAACATTTTGAAAAAAATAAAATAAATTTGAATTCAGTGTAGCAAATTTGGTCTAATGTAGTACAATACTTTTTAAAATTTGTTTTTGCAAATTAAAGTAAAATACTGTTCTCTTGGATTTTCTCTACCTCTTGTTTACTCTTGAGCACCCTTAGCAATTTTGTGTGCCATTTCTACGGTAACTGAAAAGTTATTAACCCAAGCCATATTAAAGGACATAGGCTCTAGCAGTTTGATTTATTTACCAAGGACACATTGTAAAACCGTTAACTCAAGGCTTCCCTCAAAGTTTGCTTACTCCTTATTCTCTGAGGAAAGCATACAAGTACTCACAATTTTCTAGCTGCTCCCATACCTATCTAGATATTTCTAAAGCTCACTACCCCATTGAGGATGGGAACTACCAGAGATAGAGGATGAACAGGTAGGGCAGGAAATTAAAGTTCTTTTTTTTAACTTTCTTTCTCTTCCTTGTCTTCTCTTCACAATCCCTTGTGACAGAATGTTAGGCTTTTGAATTACTTAAATTCATATTCTCCTAAAATGGGACAGAAATCTGAATAGCCTTTTGAATACTTACATTGCCTATCACAGAGAAGCAACACTATAAGCTGAATTGGCTACTGTTGGTGGTTGTTGTAAAGACAGGAGATGAATACACCGTCGTGTGTTTTCCTTAGCCGCATTAATTTCCTTGGTGTAAGTAGCAGGGTGTTTTTCAGAGAAGAAACTCAAATACTGTGTAGAGAAAGGCAAGTTCATCATTAGGTAGACTTCCTGGATTTAGTTTTCACATACCTTGGGACACTCTGAACTGGAAGACATGGCCACTCTACCAAAAAGTACTTGAGATGTGGGAGGAGGTGGAGTGGTGGGTGAGTATTGGACTGAAAAATTGTGGCCCTGGGAAACAGTGTGGGACTGGGTTCAATAAGTTGACAATTTGAATCTTCCCTGGCCCAGAGAAAGGAGGATCATTCCTCAATACTATGCTGGATAAAAAGCCCACACCATAGGTGGTGGATGGTTAAATAGAACAGATGCTTATCTCATGGTCCTTACATAATGAATACAATGGCTTTAGAGTAGCCATGGACCCTGTTACAATTCTTAAGCTTCTCTGATTTGGTTTCACTTATCTCCATTAGCTTGAAAGAGGCAGAGACTGAAAGGTTAGTTGATCTGATTTCAAAACTTGTTTATCATCTCCTGCTGTCAACTTATCACTGAACCTGGGCACCACATACTCATTTATCAATGAGAAAGAAAGAAGATTGCCAACAGGGATATAACGGAGTTTATCCTCTCTAGATGTTGCCTAGATGATCAGAGAAGCATTTGTAAAATAAAAATGAGAAAAATATTCTTGTAGAGTGTGACCCAGCCCTGTTTCCCTTTTTCAGAGAGTAAATGTCTGTTGAGGAAATATACAATTTTCATCTTATCCTGTCTCATGATCAAATGTATTTGAAGGTTGGTACAATGAGTCTAAAATTTTTCAGAGTGGGGAATGGACATCCTCAGATAAAGATATAGCAGGTAACCTTTATAAAAAGGTAAGCCTGTGTGTTGGCAAATACATGTATTTTTAAGTGACTGTAAGCATGTGTGACCAAAAAAAGAAAATGAGAAAAAACTGTAATCATTCTACTGGCTTATTACAAACTTACACTTGACCCACTGAATTCCTCTTATAATTCAGATCCCAATGAAGTGTAATTCCCTTAATATATGACTTATAGAAGATGCTTAACCTCTAAAAAAGATTCTATTTTACCAAACTCTAGCCTGGCTCAGAGGAGCCTATTTCTTAAATATACCTGCCAATTTTGGCCTATAAAGACTTGAAAACACACTTCAATCATTTCAAACAGTTTAAGGCTGCATCCGTAGGATGATATTAGGCTTTCTTAAAGTGCATTCCTGAAAAAACTCAAGATCATCAAAAGTTTGTTTCAGCCAACACCTGAAGATTAGGGCCCCTGTGTCACAGTGTCTGTGGGAAAAGTGTAGCCTAATTCCCACAAGTGCCAGTTAGTGCCAGTTAGCAAACCCAGGTGTGTTTTCCATGGACAAACTCCCCACTTTTAAATTTGTTTTCTTTCTCTGGCACTATTGAGCTTCCACTCACCCGCTCCCTATTTCCTCATCCTCCCTTTATAATGCCAGTCACTCTGTATGAATCTAAGTTGACTTGAGTTCACACTGGATTCTTTTCCGTACTGCAATAGTCATTACTGACTCAAGTATTTTCTCAACAATTTAACTAATGTTTGGCTGTGTTTATCATTGACATCCCTTAGTTCCATTTTTCTTCATTTAGTTTCTCAAGAAGCCACAAAATCAATCTCATTTTTAAGTTACATTTGTAATGTATGTAAATAATAAAAACAACAGCTTCTGCCTCTTTTCCAATAGCGGAATTCCTATAAAATTTACCATTTATCATTTTTCAATTATGTAGCATTAGTGATCAGGAACATAAAGTACATTGATATTATTTTGCAACCATCTCACTGTCTACAGAGCTTTTTCATCTTTGTCAACTGAGACTGTGCAAATTAAACAATAACTGTTCATTTTCCCTTTCCTCAGCTCCTGGAGACCACATTTCGCTTTTTGTTTCTATCAATTTGATACTCTAGGTACCTCATATAAGTGTACTCATATAGTGTTTGTCCTTTTGTAACGGGCTTATTTCCCTCAACATAATATCTTCAATCTGTGTTCATCCATGTTGTAATGTGTTGGAACGTCATTTATTTTGAAGGATGAATAATATTCCACTGTGTGTATATAGCACGTTTGGTTTATACATTTGGCTGTCAATGAACATTTGGGTTGTTTTCACCTTTGGCTATTGCAAATTATGCTGCTATGAGCATAAGTGTACAAATACAAGCATACCTTGTTTACTGCACTTCACTTTATTGTGTTGTACAGATACTGCATTTTTAATTTTTTTTTTTTTTACAAATTAAAGATTTTGGCAGCCCTGCATCAAATAAGTCTCTAAGGACTATTTCCCAATAGTATGTGCTCCCTTCACATCTCTGTGCCACATTCTCACAATACTGTAATTCTCAAAATATTTTCAACTTTTTCATTATTATTATACTTGTTACAGTGACCAGTGATCCCTGATGTCACTATTGTAATAGTTTTGGGGTGCCATGGACCACACCCATATAAGATGGCAAATTTAATTAATATATGTTGTGTGTGTTCTGACTGCTCCAACAATAGGCAGTTGCTATATGTCGTCCTCTCCTTGGACCTCCCTATTTCTACAGAACAATATTAAAATTAGGCCAAGTCATAACCCTCCAATGTTCTCTAAGTATTCAAATGCGAGGAAGAGTTGCAAGTCTCTCACTTTATATCAAAAGGCTAAACTGAGTAAGCTTAGTGAGGAAGGCAGGTTAACAGCTAAGACAGGTCAAAAGTTAAACCTCTTGTGCCGGTTATCAAGTTGTGAATGCAAATAAAAGTTATTGAAGAAAATTAAAAGTGCTACTCTAATGAACACATGAATAATATAAAAGCAAAACATGGAAAAAGTTTTAGTAGTCTGGACAGATCAAACCAGCCACATTTCCTTAAGCAAAGCCTAATACAGAGCAAGGCCCTAACCCTCTTCGATTTTATGAAGACTGAGAGAGGGGAGGAAGTTGCAGAAGAAAAGTTTGAAGTTAGCAGAAGTTGCTCCAGGAGGTTTAAGGAAAGAAGCCATCTTCATAAAGCAAAAGTACAAACTGAAAGAGCAAATGTTGATGGAGAAGCTGCAGCAAGTTATCCAGATCTAAGATAATTAATGCTGGTAGGCCGTGGTGGCTCACACCTATAATCCCAGTACTTTTGGAGGCTGGGGTGGGCAGATTGCTTGAGGCAAGGAGTTCAAGACCAATCTGGACAACATGGTGAAACCCCATCTCTATAGAAAATACAAAAATTATCCAGGTATGGTGGTACACACTTGTAATCTCAGCTTCTTGGGAGGCTGAGACATGAGAACTGCTTGTACTTCAGTGTGTTTTTGTGGTGGATGGTAACAGTTTTTCCTTTCCATATTTAGTGATTCCTTCAGGAGCTCTTAAAAGGCAGGCCTGATGGTGATGAATTTCCTCAGCATTTGCTTGTCTGAAGACAATCTTATTTCTCCTTCACCTATGAAGCTTAGTTTGGCCAGATACGAAATTCTGGGTTGGACATTCTTTTATTTAAGAATGTTGCATACTGGCCCCCAATCTCTTCTGGCTTACAGAGTTTCTGCTGAGAGGTCCGCTGTTAGTCTGATGGGTTTCCATTTGTAGGTGACCTAGCCTTTCTTTTTGTCTGCCTTAACATTTTTTCTTTCATTTCAACCTTGGAGAATCTGAGAATTAGATGTCTTGGGGTTGATCTCGTGGAGTATCTTAATGGACTTCTCTGGATTTCCTGAATTTGAATGTTAGCCTGTCTTGCTAGGTTGAAGTCCTCCCGGATGACATCCTGAAGTATGTTTTCCAACTTGCTTCTGCTCTCCCGTCTCTTTCAGTTACACCAATCAGTCATAGGTTTGTTTGTTTGTTTGTTCATTTGTTTTCCACATAATCACATATTTCTCAGAGGTTTTGTTCATATCTTTTCATTCTTTTTTCTCTATTCTTTTCCGCTTGTCTTATTTCAGAAAGATAGTCTTCAAGCACTGAGATTCTTTCCTCCACCTGGCATATTTGGCTGTTGATACTTGTGATTTCACTGTGAAGTTTTCTTGTTGTGTTTTTCAGCTCCATCAGGTCATTTATATTCCTCTCTAAACTGGCTATTTTGGTTATCATCTCCTGTAACGTTTTATCATGATTATTAGCTTCTTTCCATTGGGTTAGAACATGCTCCTTTAGCTCAGTGAAGTTCATTATTACCCACTTTCTGAAGCCTACTCCTGTCAATTCAGCCATCTCAGTCTCAGCCTAGTTTTGTGCCCTTGATGAAGAGGTGTCGTGATCATTTGGAGGAGAAGAGGGGCTCTGGCTTTTTGAATTTTCAGCATTTTTATATTGATTCTTTCTCATCTTTGTGATCTTATCTGTCTTTGATCTTTAAGGTTGCTGACCTTTGAATGGGGTTTTTGTGGGGTCTTTTTTGTTGATGCTGCTATTGTTGTTGATTTCTATTTGTTTGTTTTTCTTTCAGCAGTCAGACCCCTCTTCTGTAGGGCTGCTGTGGTTGGCTGGGGGTCCACTCCAGACTTTAATCACCTAGGTACCCCCTGCACTTGGAGGTATTACCAGTGAAGCTGCAAAATAGTAGAGATGGCAGCCTGCTCCTTCCTCTTAGAGCTCCATCTCAAAGGGCACTGACCTGATGCTGCCCCCAAATGCTATTACAGGAAGTGCCTGGAGATCCCTATTGGGAGGTCTCAGTTAGTCAGGAGGAATGGGATCAGGGACCCGCTTAAAGAAGCAGTCTGGCTGCCCGTTGGTGGAGTAGGTATGCTGCACTGGGGGGAAAGCCCCCTCCTCCAGACCTCCTGAACTTTCCAGATCCAGCAGGCAGGAAAGCGTAAGTCACTGAACTGCAAAGATGATGGCCACCCCTCCCCTGAGGGACTCCACCCAGAAAGACCAGAGTTCTGTCCATGAAACCTTGGCGAGAGTCACTAAAATTCTTGAAGGGAGGCCCCGCGCATTGAGGAGGGATGGATTGGGGTCTCACTTAAAGAAGCAGTCTGGGCCAGATGCTGTGGCTCATGCCTG